GTTAATTTTATATATATTTATTTATTTATTTATTTATATCTTTTTATATATTTAAATAAATAAATAAATATTTATAAATATGTGTATATATAGGTCAAAAAATCTGATTTTTGAAATGTAAAAGTTGTTTTGTTATTTTTGAAATATGGTAAAGATAAAGTAGGGAAAGTGAATTTTTCCCTAGTTCATGCCCATTCCAAAATATTAGCCCATTTCCAACCTAAACCCTTCTGGTCCTGTTTCGACCCAGATCCAATTGTAAGGGTTAGTTGAAGCTTGTTAAAAAATTGAAGCCTAATTATAGCCCAAACCCGTTTCTCTGCTTTATTATTCTTTCTGTGCATCCAAAACCATTTCTCTCTTCCTTAAGCATTACTTGCGCCTGCGGCTCCACCTCTCCTGTCAATATCACCGGCAGGTTCAGCAGTTTTTGCCGCCCGCTGAGACTTACCCAAGAAAAACCGATTTCCATCCAAGCAAGTTTGTTCTCTTTTCTGTTTGTTCTAGGTCTTCTTATTGTTGTTACGTTTGATTAATACTCCTGTTATGATATTATTTTAATTTATATGCTTCACATTGAATATCAGTGGAGTTTTTGACTTATAATATTTATTTTTCCTTGATAGCTACTTTCTTGTTTTTCTATTTCTGTTTTTGTTATATTCTCTTTTTCTGTTTGTAGTTTGGTTGTTGAGAGTAGAGGTTGTTTCTATGGATTTTCTTTGAAGGGATTGTATTGATTGTATGTATCTTTGGTTTGGTTTTTCCAATTGAATGTCATTAATAATTCTGTTTAAAACATTGAATTGCAGCCACTTTACATTTGGTCGTTATCTTTTCTCAATAATAGACTTGGAATTGTTTCCAACCTAATCTATTGCTTGCGGTCTTCGTGGGCATTCGGCCGCACCATAGACTCATCTCCGATCCTGTGCTGCAAGCACTCTTGTGGCCAGAGGTAATGATGATGTACACTTACATTAGAATAGCGTTGCTACGGCTGAATACAATTTTTTTTTCCCACTCAGTCAGCAGCTTGCACTTGAGCCTGCTCTAGCTTTCTGAAACTTTACTTTATAACTTTTGGAAAGGCTTATGGTTGCTTCACCAGTCTTGATTCTTAACCTTTACCTGGTGAATGCAGGTCACCCTTTTGACCCTGCATCTCTATCCGACATATAAACACACAAGGAGGAAGAACGAAAAGAAATACGGAGCATGGAGGAGTATGTTGAAGAAGTAATTAAACAGGAGTGGTACAAAGAGGATTTTAAAACCATAGCATCTCAGATTAAGGAACAGGAGAATCTCCTTAGGCTCAAACGAAGGTGAAGTTCTCTTCTGTCTTTTTCTTGTTCTTGTTTGATTTATTAGTTTATATTAATAAAACCTGTTTATGAAAATTTCCTAAAATTACTGCTCAGGTGGCTAATGGATCTACCCTTGTCCAAAAGGGAACAACAACAAATAGAAGAACTTCTACCTCCTAATGATAAGTATATACCAGTTATTTAGTACAATTCCTTTTGAAAACTTTTGGTTTTCATCTTTAATTTGGCATTTGCAGTGACCTTTTACTTTGGTTGATTGATTATTTAGAAATAACATTTCTTCCAGATATGTGCAATTAATTCAAGTTTTGGTATTGCAGGATTTGAAATTTATGCTATGTTTATTATATGTTGATATATATAAAATTTCATCGTGTTATTAAGAGTAAATCATGTATAGTTCTGCATAAAAGTCTACAGTGTTAAGTTCACTTTTTATTCTGTAAATCAATATGGTGAATAAAAAATGAATGTGGATTTTTATCTTCTCTTTTAGTTGAAAACCTACTGATTAACGAGGTATACCTTTGCAGAAACATTGAAACTTCAAGTGCACCTTTCTCTTTTACACTTTGAATGATGTGAGTATAAGGCTGCTTAATGAAATATGGTTTGAATGAAGATTTGAAGTCAGGTGGCAAGGGATCTTTTGGGTTTTAAGCACAAACCAATGACATGATTCATTGAATTGAATGACATGTTATATACTAAATGAAAAATCTCCATTTATGTGTAAATTATTCAGAAAAACTGAAATTCCTGCACCTGCAGTTTATAGTACTAGAAGTCCTCAATCAACTTTTATTTCCATTAAGAATTAGGCATCACCATTGAAGTAATTTCAGATAAAGACTTTTAAATATAATCTGCAACAAATGCACTTTTGACAGTGAATGAAATATTAACAAACTAAACCAATCCAAACTAAAATACAGTCAGTAAAATGTTTCCCACAAATTCATCAAAGCATGTATTTTGGTGTTTACATGCTTTTCTGTGCTGTACTTCCTACCATTGTTTTAAAATCTATGAGTTGAGGCAGTATCTATAATAGCATCGAATGCAGTGGCGAACTCGTCTCTTTCCTTTTTCCTCCTAGTTCAGTGAGCTTTCTAGATAAGGGCATTCTACTTCGCCTTCAGATAGCATCTGTGATGTGGCTTTCCAATTGTCTGACAGCATACCGCATACCGCGTCAATGTAACATGAAAAAGGGCGTATATATGGCTTATCGAAAAAAAAAAAAGGGCGTATATATGGAATCTTTGTCAGATTGTCAATTGATGGCTCTGATATGGTGTTGTTTCATATATTGACTACCAAGAAAAATGGCTAGTTCATGAAGTAAGAGTCTAAGACTGCAATAGAAGAATGGTTGCAAACTGTTTAAATTTTGTTTATCATTTCTTCAATCTAGATTTTCAGGTTCTTGCAACATCTAGTGGTTACTGGAAGAGGAAGTCCATATTAGAGGGCATAAGTTCTGTACTAATCACTGTCTACCTTTTAATGCTAAATTCATTAGTTTATTAGAGAAATGTCATTTTAATCAGCAGATTATGTAGTGTTTTCTTATACAGTCAAAATCTTACACCACACATCATAATGTCATTTTTCAAGATATGCCGTGGTGCATACAGCCAATTATTTTAGACGATTCTTAGGAGTCCAACATGCTAAATGATTTTAACGAGTTTTACACTTGGACAAACATGCATATCCTTTCACAATATATGAGTCCATGAGACAAGGTATAGCACTGATCCGGATTATGGAGTTTTGACTGTTTCTGATCCTACATTTTTCGTACGCATGTGTGTGTATTCTGTTCCTATTTTGCTGCTGTAGTTTCATATATTTTGTATTGTTCTACTGATTTTAAGGTAATTTGTTTAAATTTTTATTTTTAATTTGCAGGATTCTTCCTGAGTCAATGCTTAGAGAAGACGATGTAAGTCTTTATTTTGAGAATTGCTACAAGTTTGTGTGATCATTATTGCTGTCCTTGCATATTTATGTATTGGGCCATGTGATCTGAAGTGTTCTGCATTAATTTCAGTGAAGTAATTATGTACACCAAAATGTTCTTTTGACATTAAGATTGGTAGGACTATACTCCTTACCAATTGTGCTTTGTAATTGATTGCATGTCTGTTGTCACAGGTGCGTTTGGTTTGCTGTTTTCAGATTTCAATTTTGCAAAACATTGAAAACATGTTTAGTGCTATTTCTGAATATACATTGTCGAAAATAAGGATAAATTTATAACATAAAACTCAAAATGCATTTTTGTCGTTTTGAGTGTTTTCGGTAAAAATTTTGAAAACACTCAAAACGTGGAAAACGAGTGTTTAAATAAAATTTTAGAAAATAAAATATAAAATTAAAAAAAACTCATAAAAAAAATTTGAAAAATTCTTTTAAATAAAATTCTAAAATATAAACAATTAAAATTATATAAAAAAAATCTATGAAAATGAAAATTATGAAAAATAAAAAATAAAGATAGTTCAATCTCTTAATGATTGTTACATAAAAATTATGTAAAAATATTTAAATGAACATAAATAAAATATTCTTTGTCCACGTTAGTAATTTATATTTTTGTTTCATATATTTTGAACTCAATTTATTATTATTTTTATTTTACTTTTGAAGTGAGAAAAAATATTGTAAGACTCATCAACTTTAAAATGTATATATTATTTCTTATCAAAAAAAAAAATGTATATATTATTTGATAATATATTAAAATAAAATTGTAATATTTTTTACCGAGTAATCAAATTTTATGGAATAAAATGCCATAAAACAATTTTTCAAAAATTCAAACCAAACATGTTTTCTAGTTTTCTATTTTGAGTAATAGTTTTTCAAGATGACAAACGAAACGTGTTTTTAGCAATTTTAAAATTGACCCTCAAAACAAAAAATTGAAATTAAACTCAAAATTGAAAACTGAAATACAAACCAAACGAGCCCTAAGGTTTTACATGGCAGATCGGCCATTATCCACCATGCTACTGTATTTGGTGCGACTTTAAGTATGCAAGCGTTCAATAATTTTATATCTTTCTGATTAAAGGTTCATTTGGAGAGAACATTAATAAAATATAAGCCTTTGTGAAGTATGTTGTGGTTGACATGCAATTATGCCCAACATATTTACTTCCTTTCTCTCCTTCATAAACCAGCAATCAGTAGGGTGATTTAATTTTGTTCTTATCGAGAAAAGAGTGATTTATTTATACACATGCATGTGTGATTCTTTCTCTTCCTTTTTCTTGGGGGTGGGTGGGTTGTATGTGCATTTGTTTGAGGTTATTCTGTCTTATCTTATGTTTAAATCTATTATAATCACAGGTATGTTATGAGAACATCAGAAATTTTGTTGAAAAGGGTTTTGGTGCTCATAAGTGTGAAATGGAACATCAGTTGGCTCAAGAGGATATACAAAATTTTGATTTGTTTGATGATCTTAAAGAGTTTTTCCCCCTGCTAGATGATATGACAAACAGAGGCTTATGTTCGTTTCTTGAGATCCTGACAGATGGAATGATTAAGTTTGAGAAAACCAACTGGAGAATGAAGAGTACGATAAAATATTATCTTAAAACGCATTCTAGGGAAAAGAATGATAATTCCCAAACAAAATTAAAACTGCTATGTCAGTTGCTGGAAGACCCAAAAAACTTTCGTATCAATCAGGTAGCTTTGTCTTCTCAATCGAAATCCTATCGCTCTGCTGCCATCAAGGTACTGGATGGACTTGAGGACATGCCTTGCAGAACATTAAGTGCAATGCATAGGAAGCTGAGAGGTGTTAGATACAACCCTACTATACAGTCTCCTAAATCTGGATGGGGACGTGACCGTTTAATCAGTGTCGTGAGAAAAAGGTGCATGAAAATGCTCTTGGAACTCGGTGAAGGGGATGAGACCCCAGAACCATTAGCCGGTGCATTGGCAGTTGCAAGCTTGACTTTAAAGCTAATGCATAACAGTCCTGTAATAGACTTCCGGAATTTTTTACCAGAGACAGAAGCATTGCAAAATGATATTGCAAAGGCTATCTGGTTACTAAATGATGTAAAGAGAGTGAGCTTGATTGAGCTTAAGAAATTACAGTTTTTGCTGGATCCTAGTACTGAATTATCAGATAGAAATTTCCGTATGGCATTAAGGAATCTATTGACTGATTATCTATTTGAGTGCAGTGACATGGACAATGTCCCAGATTGTTTACTCGAAATGCTTTCCATTATCAATAGAAGATCTCGACTTCCATCTCGAAGAAAACGTCTGTCTTCAAAAGTACATTCATCTTCTCATGAGCTAATGAAGGAGGAAATAGAAAATGAGGTAGAGTGTATATTAACTTCTAGCGCTCAGGCAAAACAAATTGTCTGGGACGTTCTCTCTGAACATAGACTAGACCAGGATTTTGCCGATGCTTACATGGAGGATTTAGAAGAAAGTGAAATGACCGCTACTTCTGATGATGACAGTGAAGAAGAGTTGAATCTTCCTCAACTTTATAGATTTGATTCTCATGATCCAGATGACCAAATGGAAAGTATTGGTGAGATCAACCCAGTGGGGAAAAATTCACCTTCCTCTACAAGTGAATCAGATAACTGTTCCCCATTGCTTTCACCTAATGAAAGGTTAAATGTCCCTCTAGAGTCTATGCATATTAATGAAGTGGAGTCAATTGAGTCTTTTGGTTTGGTACATTCCCCTTCATGCATAGAATCAAAGATTTCTTGTGACATGCAAAACATGAATAGAAACCAGCACCCATCGGGAAGTACTGGGGAACTGAGAATGGCTTGTAGTGATATGCCGTTGACAGCTAAGAAAAATTTATCTACTCCACCTATCTCACCAGATAAAAATTCAAATAGGAATGACACTGGAAGTCAAGAAATTTCAATTAACTCAGCAGAAATCCCAAAATATGAATTTGCTGAAAACTTCTCAGGTGAACAATCAGATATTGTCAATAACCAGAGCAAGCCAGTTAATCAATACCTTGAGGTCCAAGATGCTTGCGACAAGACTATTATGGTAGCATATGATTTAATTGGTTTTATATTGGATGAATACTCCAAGATTGAAGACATAGATTTATACCAGGGTGACAGATCATATCTCCGAAATTGTGCTTCAGTTCCTCAGGATTCTGAAGGTATGGAGACCGTATATCTTCCTTCACCTCTATTCATTGTGCTTAATAAATTAACCTGATTTCGATTAGCTTATTGTTTTCAGCTTTTCTTTAGTGATTATTATGCTCTCCTGATTGTCAAAGAAGGAATCATTGAACTACACTTATCTATTTTCAAATTTGATGATGTGGTGAAAAGCATGGAGTAAATAGTTTCTGGGCATGGTGCATGGCGTTACTGTATTCTGTGCTCTAAACAAGGATAATTCTAGGAAGATTTAACTTGAAAAGTTCTCAAAATGGAGTTCAGGATTCATTCTTTTCTATAGTTGATGAAGTAGTCTGAACTTGAGAAATTGTCTGTTTGGTTGCCTGACGACTCGGTTCGTCACATGTCTAATTACAAGCTGCTTTGTTGGAATAAAAGCAGACACGTCCCTGTGTAACTGGTCACCATGTTAAGGTGTCTTTTTGAAAAAATGAATAAAGAATAACTCGAAGATTTGTAGGCTTTTAGTTTGTTGGCTTTGCCGTGTAATGATTTTTCGAAAGTAATTAGCTGCTTTGCTGGAACGAAAGCAGATATTCCTGTAATGATTTACGAAAGTAAGATTTTAAGGGAAGCAAAGTTTACATGAGGGAATTATGGTATGCTTGTGGGAATTTGTAAGAGACTAGAGAAAACAAGCATGAGCCTCGGATTTCAGAGATTATGCCAAAGATTGAGAAACCACAAGGAAGAACATGAAGAGGGAGAAGAATTGAGATACATAGGATTACACCTTGGTTTCTTAGATGTTGCATCAAATGAAGCAGATGCATGGCATAATTAAGAAAAAGTTGGATTATTTCTTCATTAGATGTCTAAAGCGTGTTGAATATAACCCTTGTCAAAGAGGACTGACATTTAAACAATAATTAAACTTGAGTCCCCAACATTGATCCTCTCTAAAGACTTATCATAAAAATCTGGCCCCTTACATGTAACAAGGTTACTGATTAAACCCAAAAACTGGTAGCCTTGCATTGCAGCCTACTAATAGACAAAGTTAGTAACTCATTAAACTCAAATAAGACACTTTTGTTAGGAGTGAATCCGAACAGCTTAAGGTTCTAAATGACTGCACTTGGGAGCCATTGAGCATCCAAATTTGTCCTTCCTTCTTGTTAGGTTTCCTTGCTTTATTGTCAGATTGCACAGGTTGTAGATCTTTTTTATCAATGAGAAGAAGCCTGTTTAAGAAAAATATATGTTTACGTACTTATTTGTGCTTGCGTCTTCTGTCCACCTATCCTTTTTCTATATTATAAATTCTTTTCCTTTTTCATTGGCAAGAGAACTAGCGTGACTTGCTAGCTGACAAACAGTTTGTGATGCAATTTCTATACGTACAGCCTCGAGGAAGCGCATGGCCTCTTCTAAGGATGACGTCCTTGGTTCAATTATTGTTCAGGCCATTGACGAGTTAATACCCTCATTTCCTGAAAGGTAACTTTGTTTCTTAGCTAAATGTTCATATTTTTGGATATTAGTAATTTATTATGTTCTTGAAGGTTTTGTGTTGTGGACTATGGTTAAATTTGATGCTTAAAGTTATTTTGCAATTCCAGATATATGTTGTTTATGCAATTTTCCTTTTGTACTTGAAAAGCCTATGTTGGTAGATCTCTCGCACCATATAGGCTGGTCGCTGCCATCATGATCGGCTGAATTTTTAATCTCTCCTTCAAAAGAGTGTTATCTATCATGTATACTTAAATCACTTGATAGTATGAACTGAAAAGATAGGACGTCAATAGTGGCATAGGACTTGGGACACGCTTCAATAGATTTGCCAAAATTTGTGATTGTTATATTTATTCCAAATTATCCGGTTCACCGAAATTTTTTAGACTGTGTGTGACTAAACATTCAGGAACAAAAACATTGGTTAAAAACTCCAGTTTACCCCCTTCATCTGTTGCATATTCTAATGGGTTTTTGAAAATCCTAGAAACTGCAAAGATTACCAAATAAGATTTTGCATTCAAACAAGTATATCTTTTCATTTGGGATTTAGATACAAAAAGGATGTATCATTACTCTGTGTGTGTCTCTGTGTCTGTTAGCTGTTTGTGAAGACCTTTAGGTTTTTTTGATCAATTTTGCGGTTCACGTATGTCACCCCTCCAAAAAACTATCACTTACATGCTGAAATTGGAAAAACAGACAGTGTGTACTGTATGTTTGTCTTGGAAGTTACTGATTGTGGACTACAGCTGAGGCTTCACCATTGTAATAATATATTCAATTCCCAAACAGCAGTGAACTGCTCATAGTTGATATTGCTTGAAGAAGAAATTGTTAAGGAAACATGATGTCAAACCGTTACCTGTACCATAGAAAAATAAATGAAGATCTGATTTGATATAAGAAGATGAATACCAAATAAGTTTTTATGTCACATGTCTTACATGAGCAAAGAGCTCTAGCTGTTAGAGACTTGTAGCTTGTCTGATAAAGAGGTCTAAACAGTAGTAAGCATTGGATAGTATTGAAAACAAAAGGAAGTTAGAATGTTATTTACTGTATTGTCTAGCCTTATCCCATACCAAATGTGTTAACTTTTTCTGACTAGCTTAGCCATCTTTGATTGCTTGCTTTCACCTTTTAAGTACATACATATATCTGATTCTATTAACTCGTGTATTCAATGCAGTGGAAAAGAGAAGTTAAGGAAGTTGATGCGCATGACATAGTCTTTCGGCTCTATATTTATGGAGTTATTATTGCATTGGAGTTATTATTGCATTGTAATAAAACCAGACATGATTTTAGGTCTCTGGTTTATTTATATGCCCAATTTATGAGCAATGAGCATTGTTTGGTAGAATTCAGTGGAAGCATATCTAAGATAACTGTAGAAATGTACATAAAACTGATTGTAAATGAGGTTGGGGATGTGAAAGGGTGTAAAATCTTCTTTTTTAGCTTTTTTTTTGGCCTTCTAAAGCTTTGGACAGCTAGATAATATTGGTTCTCATTGTTGTCTTGGGTAGCAAATTTTGTGAAAACTTTTTTTTTTCCTTATGATCTAGTTACTCGAGTTATTTGTTATTTTCCCCAAACAAGCCGAGGCAGTGAAGGGATCAAACAAACTAGATTTGACATCTGCAAATTGATTTTCTAGATTGAGATCTTGGACATTGTGGAAACTCAGACTATTGCAAAATAACAACACAAGTTTACATTTCTAGAATTCATGAATAGCACTGCTGACCAAAATCATATTTATCTTACTTATGCTTTCTGATAGATGTGCTTTTATGCTGCGAAGGCATAAAATCTCACCATACATTGCCCAGATGTCGGATTCACAACTTTTCAATTACATATTTCATTAACTTTTATCAATATTTGCTAAAAATCTCATTTTGATTCTCATCAAGTGGAGGTGAAAATTTATTCCAAGCATGCATGATATGCAATACTAGATAGGACGAGGATCTAATGGATGAGATTCAAAATATTTTTCCCCTAATGCTATTGAGTAAAGTCTAGTGTTGGTGTACGTTACCCAACATCTCATCAAGTATGACAAAGCTACACGTGCAGAGAAAGTTTAGGGATTTTTATAAAATGTCACATGACAACATTTAATTAGATTTTGGACAAAAAATATAGTTAAAACAACCAATCAGCACCTGTGAAATCCTTGTGCGATCCCTTGTATAAATGGTAAACTCCCATAAGAATGGGAAAAAAGTGCTAACTGAATTGAAAATGTCTTGGCATATGCTCTGCACATACTTCACCACAACAATCATAGGCTTCACTCAACAAGCCAACAGACCCCTCCAGAAGGACAAGTCTACTCTCCTTTCACAGAGCAAAATAACTACTAAAGATTTTTTGAAATTTGAACTTTCTGATGAGAGTAATAAGACTCAACTACTTGTCGAGGGCTAGCTTGTATTATCCTTCAACTGTTGGCACTAGTTTGTGCACTTGATGGCACTATAGAAAATAATTAAAGAATCTCTAAGCCTTTTATTTTCAGTAGCTTTACCTATAGCCCCACCACCTTTAAATAGATGGTCAATACTAATTCTATTTTACAATTGATATTATTTACATAGATTATTCTAATAATGTTACAACCTTTTCTCAAGTGGGTTTTTAGTATTTC